AGACATCTACATGATTTTACATCTAATTTGAGCAATAAAACTGTTTTTTCAACATTAGACCTCAAGAAGGCATATCACCACATACCAATGAATAAAGAGGACAAAAATGGCAATAGTCACTCCTTTCACAGGGTTCATAGCCACATTTTAGTTAAAAAAATAAGCACCTATAAGCACTTTTCAAGCACATTTTAAGGAAAAAATAAGCACCTGTCTAATTACATTATACACAACTGCATAACCTTAAAAGAAAAAATTAGACTTGTAATTTAAAATATGAGCAATGCAATATTTATTACGAGAATGAGCATTACCTCAACAATGGAAAACAATTAACTTTTTTTTTTTTTTTTTTTAAATTTTAAATGACAGTTCAATTTACAGAATTAGTTTACAATGAGAGGGAAAAAAAACTATGCAGAACTAAACTATATTACAAAATTTAATGATGATATTTCAGTTGAAAATATAGAAAATAAATAATAATAATAAGCCATATTAATTGTATTCGTTTGGCACCTAACAATAAATACAATTTATTTTTCCACTCATATTAATATTTAAATAATTTAACTTAAATCAAAATTCTGAACGTTTTCTAAATTTTCATACCATAACAGTTTTCCCTTAACATATATCCCAAACAAAGTAATTTAAGTAAAAAAGAGGCACATTTCTGAAATCAGAAGACAGGAAATTGCTTCATGCAGTCATCCTTTAACAGTAAAAGCTTAACTAACCCGCATACTCGGAAATTTCCGGATAGTAACTGGGAAAAAGAGAAGTGGGGGAGACTGTAGCCGTTCTTTAGATTTAAATTTAGGCTAAATAAATGATTTTGACATTTCGATATGTGCATCATATAAAAACCAACGGAACTGAGAAATATTCTGCTTAGAAAGCACAGTAAAACTCTTTTAAGTGTTCATAAACAAATCTCAGACTGAACATTAATTTATCAATGCGAAATACCGCAAACATTATTGCGCAATACATGCGGCATAATTCTTCCATATGTGATATTACGCAATCGGAATCAACACCTGCCGGTATTCGGAGAATAAAGAACTAAATAAAGGAAAAGAAAGAGACTTACTAATCTGGGGTATTTCTGATTCTAATTTTCAACAGACTGTATTAAATTTCCGGAATAGAATCAATCTTCGCTTGGGTAGACCGCAAAACTTTTAGTCCTATTCAATCCAGATTGGACAGTGACAAAAAAAGTCCGCTGCTTCAATATTAGAGATTTTGCAGAGAAACTCCCCCTCCATACTGTATAATGTATTGGGCAAGAAAAATGAAATTATTTTGACTATTCGATTACTTTCCTTTTATTTAAGCCATTCCGAATATTATTCCTTAGAAAGCTAATCTGTGTAAAAACACACCCATTTTTGGAAGTTTATCTATACTTCAGCGGTTACTGCAACTATATTATTATAAATATTCATACATATGCTCATAATATAAGCATAACGATCATACAATAAACGACGAATATGAATCTGACCATGCGGAACGAGAATGCAAATTATTTAAAATCTTGATAGAAATTCAAACGTGTGTAGTATTTGGGTGGGAGGAAAAGAATACCAAATATAAGACTATATTACAAAATTTAATGATTATATTTTTTTTTTCTACCGCTTTTCGCAATTCTTTGGCCAATAGAACGACGTGCACCTGTCTGTATTCTCACGACACCAATAGGTTACGTTAATGCAGAGGAAGGGGCGAATAGCAATTTCTGGGAGTATGATTCACCATCTGACATTCCAGATATAAGGGAAGAAAAGTTTGTTTATTTAGTTCAGCTTTGGTACGGGGAAAAGATGCAAAGATGCACGTTCTTTCATTTCTTTCTTTTTTTTTTTTTTAAAGGCATTAAAAGCAAACAACTAAGTACAAAAAATAAGCACTAAAAACAAAAAATAAAGGGCTTTAGGGGAAAAGTAAAGCACCTGTAAGAGCCTTTATATTTTATTTTCAAATATAAGGACTTATAAGCACTTGTAAGGACCGCTACGAACCCTGCTTCAGATTATTCGAGTTCAACTACATGACATTTGGTTTACGTAATGCTGCGCAAACCATGCAAAGATTACTCGATCAAATTCTGTCAGAGTTAAATTTCTGTTTCGTCTATATGGATGATATTTTGATTGTTTCATCATCCCTCGATGAACATATACTTCATATCAAAGAAGTTTTTAAGAGATTAAAATGTTATAATTTGACTATCAACCTTCCTAAATGCCCATTTGCTGCAGAACACGTAAAATTTTTAGGTCACATTATCAACAAAAATAAAACCATTCCTTTGCCAGAAAAAATTAAAGTTATCCAAGATTTTCCCAAATCTAAAACTGTTAATGAAAATCACACTTTTTGGGGGAATTCTTAATTTCGATAGGAGACCACGCTGCTGGAATTCAACTTTCTTTAAATGGCATGCTCGGAAATTGTAAGAAAAATGACAAAACACTTTTAAATTGGTCAATAGACACTGAAACAGCCTTTGAGTCATGTAAACAGCTTCTGACACAGGTTACAACTTTAGTCCACCCATACTCAAAAAAGAAAATTGCTCTCATGTGCGACACATAAGACAAAGCCATAGGCGCTTGCGTCCAACAGCTCAATACACAAACATGGGATCCATTAGGACTTTTCTTCAGAAAATTGAGCGATACTGAACAAAAGTATAGTATGTACGACAGAGCTGTTAGCAATATTTGCCACTATCAAATACTTCAGATATCTGCTTGAAGGTACGACCTTTACAGTATTTACAGATCATAAGCCGATCACTCACAAAAGCATTTTTCCAAAAGTACAAGCTCTCTCCACGACAAATTAATCAACTTAATTTTGTTGGTCAGTTCACTACTGATATTTAACATGTGAGTGGTGCTGAAAATAGACCAGCTGATGCTCTTTCTCGCATCGAAATGGTTGCTAATGTCATTCCTATTAACTATGAATCTATGTCGAAAGCATAACAGAGTGACACTGTGCTCCAATACTTTTTAGACAAAGAAAATCCAGTTCTGCAATTAAAGAAGTTAAAAATGCCTGAGAGTTGTACAGAAGTGTATTGCGACATTTCGCATGGTAAAATCTGTCCTTTTGTTCCAGATAGTCATAGAAAACTTGTCTTTTCAGCTCTGCATAATCTTTCCCATCCTGGACCTAAAACAATGTTGAAGTTAATTAGTGACTTATTTGTCTGGCTCAGAATGAAAAAGGATGCAGTGGTGACGGGCAGAGACCGTCACCACTGCTCTTTATGCTGGCTGGATCTCAAGATTCGGTGTGCCTGCCCAGATCATCACTCATTGTGGTAGCCAATTTTCGCAGTGAATTCTTTCAAGAACTAGTCAAGAACTTTGGTATTCGCCTTTCTCACACTCCCGCATGTCACCCACAAACCAACGACATCACTGAAAGGTGGCACAGATCCCTTAAACAATCCACAATGTGTTACACTTCCGAACACTGGACTATCGTATTGCCTTCAGTTCTTCTGGGACTTCAGGCCGCTTTCAGAGGGGAACTTAACTGCTCTCCAGCCAAACTGGTGTATGGCCAAACTCCGTGTCTTCCGGGACAATTTTTTATGCCTCCTGAGAGCAACATTCCGAGGAGAGACTTCCTAAAAAATTGAATTATAATCTAGAACATCTTTGTCTGACTGCTACTACCAATTACTCTAAAAAACAGATCTTTGTGTATAAACACTTAGATAAATGTTCTCATGTTTTTCTGCGGGTAGACACAGTAAAACCCTCGTTGCATATACCTTACACTGGTCCGTACAAAGTATGTCGACTTGGTGATAAAACTTTTACCATATCTAAACAAGGACATGATATCACTGTATCTATCGACAAAGTAAAACCTACTTATTTAGTCCCAAATGAAGTATTTGAAATTTTAGTTTAACTGATGTAGATAAGACCTCATCACAGCAACCAACCTATCCAGTAAACGAACAGCCACCTGAAAAATGTGCTCCTGAGAAAGCAAATTATCAAACTCGTTCAGGACGTCGTGTGCATCTTCCTAAACGGTTTGTGGAAAACTAATTTTTTTCCTCTGTTTTTCAGATTTTTAGCACATTTTTTTCCCCGGAAGGGAGATGGTGTGGGACTGCATTCCTTCGGCACTTCGAGTTCTGCTCGTACATGTGTGATAAGCATCTCACCTCTGAGCGACTGCAAAAAAAAAAAAAACTTTTGCCTTCTGTTTTAACAAGTTCATGTACGCATTTTACTCATAGCTGAAATTCCTGTTATTTTATCACTATGTATGTATTTTGATACATTAAAAGAATTTTATTTTTCTAAATTGGTTGTCTAGCCATTAATCAGACCCCAAATATACTATCACATCACTATTTTATGGTATCCGCTCAAGTCAATTTTTGCACTGTAGGCTAATGTTATGTTAATAATATTCAACTATTGTAATGTTGCACGTCAGTTAAGCTTCAATATATAATGCACATTGGCAAACAGAGGATATCTTTAAGGAGTATTTGCACAGGGTTATAACACTCCTTTGGCATGCTTCCAAGCCTTTCTCCAATCAAGTAAATGTTAGGAATTTGAGTGAACTTTTCAGCATGGCAAACCTGCGCTGAACAATGCACACGAATAATAACTTGTGGTCAGTTATTCTATTAACTTGTGGTCAGTTAATAGAGTAACTGACAAGATAACATTTGAGAGAAGCCACAAAGACTGAGTATCCTCACACACAGCCACTAGAGAGATGGTAGTTTATCATTGTGATATAAGATTCTGGACCTAGGTTTGGTCAATAAATATTATGGATAGGGAGGAAGACTAAGGTAAAGATATTTCTAATGTTAACTTTTCTATTAGAAAGAATGACATATTTTCATAGTATAATCAAATATTAAATAATTTTTATGCTACAAGTTATTTTAAACCTGAATAAAAATGTTTCAGGAAATGTTAATTAGAGCATACCAGTTTTAGCTTTGATTCCATTAAGGCAAAAATGCGTTCCACACCAATACTCATGCCAACACAAGATACATTCTTGTGCTTTGAGTCAAACATTCCAACTAGATTATCATAACGTCCTCCGCCTGCAATACTGCCAACTCTTGTCGACTCACCATCCATGTCACTGAGATTAGATTGATTCCCTAATAAAGTTTTCATTGAAAAATGTTATCAAAAATTTTTCAACAATGGTTATAACATTTGAAAATCAATATTACTATTATTATTCAAAATACCTGTTAATACAGCTTCAAAAATGATCCCTGTGTAATAATCAAGACCTCTTGCTAAACTCAGATCAAAACACACCTATAATAATACAGGGTTAGTAGCCACATTTTAGTTAAAAAAAATAAACACCTATAAGCACATTTTAAGAAAAAAAAATAAGCACATGTCTAATTACATTATACACAACTGCACAACCTTTAAAGAAAAAATAGACTGGTAATTTAAAATATGAGAAACTCAGTATTAAGAGAGATGAGTATTACCTCAACAATGGAAAATAATTACATTTTTTTTTTTTTTTTTTTAAATTTTAAATAGCAGTTCAATTTACAAAACTAGTTTACAAAGAGAGGACGAAAACTATGCAGAACTAAACTATGTTACAAGATTTAAAGATGAAATTTCAGTTCAAAATAGAGAAAATAAATAATAAGCCATATTTATTATATTCGCTTGCCACCTAAAAATAAATACAATTTATTTTTCCACGTATATTAATATTTAAATAATTTAACTTAAAATCAAAATTCTGAACATTTTCTAAATTTTTATTGCATAACAGTTTTCTCTTAACAGATACTGCAAGCAAAGTAATTTAAGTAAAAATAAGAACATTTCTGAAATCAGAAGACAGGAAATTGCTTCATGCAATCATCTTTTAACAGAAAAAGCTTAACTAGCTTATCATACTCAGAAATTGCCGAATATGTGAAAACTCCGGTTTTTTTAGCATAACTGGAAGGGTATATTGTAGCCGTTCTTTAAATTTTTTGGCTAAATAATGCTTTTGACATTTTGATATGTGCATCATATAGAAATAGCCCAACGGAACTGAAAAATATTCTACTTAGCAAGCACAGTAAAACTTTTAAGTGCTCATAATCAAATCTCAGACTGAACATCAAAATCAATTATCTTTGCAAAATATCGCAAACGTTATTGCACAATACATGCACCTTAATTCTTCCGCACATGATATTACGCAATCAGAATCAACAGCTGCAGGTATTCGGAGAATAAATAACTAAATGAAGGAGAAGAAAGAGACATACTAATCTGGGAGTGTTTTTCATTCTAATTTTGAACAGACTGTTGTAATATCTTGTTATTTAAAAAATAACTATATTAATTATTGAAGTGGCAACGCCATATTTATATGAGGTACCTGTTGCTCAGCAACAGAAGAAATTGTTTAAAAATGATAATTCTGAAGTTTGACCAGCTAGTAGATGTATGAAAATTTTGCCACTTAAGATTTGTATACAAATTATCTATCTCCGTAAACTAAAAATAAAATTTATGTTTTACTAAGAAGATTATCTGTTTTGTCAATTACTGCAAAATACATTACACTGTGCTAAATTTCCAGAATAGAATCATTCTTTGCTTGGGTTGGTATTATTCAATTCAGAATGGAAAGTGACCAACCAAAAAACATCTGTTGCTTGTTTTGCTGCTAACTGTAACGGTTTCAATATTCAAGATTTTGCGGAAAAAGAGGAGGATCCCCCCCCCAACTTCCGTACTGTGTAATGCATTGGCAAAAAAAATGAAATTATTTTGACTATTCGATTATTTTCACTTTATTTACGTCATTTCGAATATTATTTCTTAGAAAGTTAATCGCAAAAAAAAAAAAAAAAAAAAAAAAAAAAACAAAAAAAAAAAAAAAAAAAAAAAAAAAAACACAAAAAAAAAAATCATGTTAAAACACATTTACCCATTTTTGAAGTGTATCTATACTTTAGCAGTTACTGCAAATATATTATTATAAATATTTATACATATGCTCATAATATAAGCATAAAAAGATCATAAGAATATGATCTGACATGCGAATGAGAATGCAAATTATTTAAATCTTGAGAGAAATTCAAACATGTGTAGTCTTGGGTGGGAGGAAAAATGTAACCAGAATTTTGGCTATGGCTTTTGCAATTCTTTGACCAATAGAACGACGTGCACCTGTCTGTATTCGCAGACACCAAGGTTACGTTAATGCAGAGAAAGGGCGTATAGCTATTTCTGGGAGTATGATTCACCATCTGCATTCCAGATAGGGAGAAAAGAGTTTATTTAGTTCAGCTTGGTACGGGGAAAAGATGCAAGATGCACGTTCTTTCTTTCTTTCTTTTTTTTTTTTTAAAGCACTAAAAGCAAACAATAAGTACTAAAAACCAAAAAATAAATGCTTTAGGGGAAAAGTAAACACCTGTAAGGGCCTTTATATTTTATTTTCAAATATAAAAACTTATAAGCACTTGTAAGGACCACTGCAAACCCTGTAATACACTTTAAATATCAGCAAAATATGTATAATTTGACTTGAAAAAATAGCATTAATAATCATTAAAATAATTACCTTGTCCAATACATCATACAAATCACAATAAACGAAAAACAGCTTCATAGATTCTAAACCTTGTTTTGCTAATTTGTTCTGAGCAAGATCTCCTGACTGTAACAGTTCATCTACTAACTCTGCACCACCATGTTTTTTAACATACTGACCAATTTTATCAGCTACATCTTCAGGTAAATTTTTCTCATTTACCATTTCAGCCCTAACTTCTTCCCATTCTGTCTGCCAAAAAAGAAAAATTCAAACAAAATTAAGTTATATAAGTTTCTAAGTTTATAAACAAACATTTCAAATTTCAAAAGACTCAACATAAAAAATTCACATTATTTAAAATCTTACTTTGTCAAGTTTATCAACAGATGAGCAGATCGTTCTAAATTTATCAGCAGGAACACCACAAACATCAAACATGCCATCAAGAACTTGCCTGTGATTTACCTGTACAAAAATATATAAATGCATTACATAATATATTAAAATGCACATAACTTCCCTGCTACAAACAAAAGTAATGAACTGTTTTAAAAGCAAATACTAATATTCTTGTAATATCTAAAGAACTAACTTTGATTGTGTAGTCGCCAATATCTAGGTCACTCAAGATTTCTTTCATTATTCGAACACATTCCACATCAGGAATCATTTCACTGTATTGCCCAGCAATATCAAAATCCTGAGAAAATGGGGAAAACAATGTAAAAATCAATATTTTTTTAAAAATAAATATGTTAAACATATATGTAAAAAATCTTTTCAAGAGGACAGGAAGAAAATATAACTTTTATATCAAAATTTTTTTAAATTTTTTAAACATAGGCATGCAACATATCACAGTTTTGCCATTTCGTTTGATGAATGGTTTCAAAACTATAAATTATAATACATAATTTTGCTCTTTTTAGAGAGATAAAATGACATAAATATCTACATTACCCAAATTTGCAATCAAACTATCATTCGCTTTTCTTAAATTGGTTGAAAAGACTTACATTATTAATTTCTAAAGGAATAAAAATTAGATTTCACATTTCTTTTTAAAACAAGTATTTAGTGAAATTCTCTCTGAACCATATCCAAAAGTGACCAGCATTTCCACACAGCACCCTCGGTGAGTATTCAAGAAGCCCGAGGTTCGAGTAACGGTGAGAGCATTACACACTTTTCACATCTTCCGCATCAAAAAAATAATAATAATTAAAAAAAAAACCCTCTAATGATTCTACAGTTAGTGCTGGAACTAAAAGGTGATGGATGATTCTTCACCACTAGGATTTGTTTATTGAGTCTCCTAATCCCTAGTTGCTTTATAAAAGGGGGAATTTTCTCTCTCCTTTCCACATGCCTTCATGGTGTAATGGTTAGCGTATTTGAGAGGTCCAGGTTCCGAGTTCTGGTGAGGGTATTGCTCATTTTTTACGTCAGAGTTACAATGGCCGCCTACTTTTAAAAGAAAGAAAAAAGTAGGCGGCCAGTGTAACGCTGATTCAAAATCCGGTTACGGCCACGTGCAGTGCTGATAACGATCACATGTTTCTGAGACTCCTTTGCCGATGCTTTATTTTTCTTCTTTTTTCCCCTTTCTAGTAATTTCGTTCTCCTGATGAGGAGGGACCTTTAGCTGCCCTCGAAATTGATCGAGTGTTTTAATATATGTACGTTAAATACAGGGTTGTTATTGCGATTTTGATTGTCACACTGACGTATTTCTTTTCTATTGACATTTCTAGGTGGTTTGAACTTACATTTTCATTCTTCTCTGCATTGCTGGTAATGTATCTCAAATCAATGCCAAAGGCAATTTCCTTTTCTGACATTACTATAATTGATACATTTATTTTTAAGTTGACAGTTTATAATATGTATTCAATCTGAAGGCAAAGTAGGAGAAAAATATTCTTAAAATGCTTGTAATTACCTTTAGTCCTAAGAAGCAAAAAAAAAAATTCTGCTGATAGAAGCTTTAAATTTCACAAGCAAGTTAAAATAGTTCATTATATGGGTGCCAGTAAAATGACCAATTACTTTGAAATTCCAAATATTTTTAAAAAAGATAATGACTAATGAAAAGATACTTCATTAGATGAATACAGTTAAACCTCAGTACATGAATTTTATTCATTCCTGAAAGCTGTTCACCAACTAGTACATGTGTAAATTGAAACAATTTTTCTGATAGGAATTAATGTAAAATGCATAAATTCTTTTCTCATCCATAGATGATCCCTAATTTAATAGTTACAGCAGACCTTTGAGCTCAAATTGATAACCTCAAATCAGTAGAGCTTAATAAATATAAAAGATGAAAGATAAGTGCAATATTATGCAGATAAAGTAGAAGAAAATTTAATTTTACTCTGCATCCACGAAGAAGAATAAACGGTATAAATGAGAATGATTAAGATGTTCTGGAGGTATTTCTTTTATCTTCTCTCTACTTTAGATTCCCCGAGTCTCCATTTTGCTCAAAATTTGTAAATTGTGATTTATTGTTGCCTCATTTTAAAATGTTTCCAAAACAAGATATGACATTGCCAGTGAAAATATTAATATTGTAGCTTGCTATTGCTTTTCAAGTTATATCATTGCTTGAAAACATTGCATATTGCCTCATTTTACAAAAATTTTGCATAGTAGAGAAAAGAATTCTCTCCCCCCCTTCCTGTAAACAATCCTTCCACAAACGTCTTTTGTTGCTACTTTTGAAATTGTTGTTGCTCTTTTATATTCAGCTCATTTTTAAAATTCTCCAGTAACTACTCTACATCTCCATTGTTCCCCTCCTAGTCTGACGTCTTGTCTAGAAGCACAATATTATAGATTTAAAAAAAGCCCTAAGTGTGAAAACATTGAAAGTATTTGCCTGCAATCGAGTCCGATTTATGATATCTTTCAGGCTTAATTCACACTTATGTAAGTCACTTGCTTTTAGGCTTTGTTCATGGGATGTAAAGCAATGGATATTCATGATTTTAGCATCATTAAACAAAGTGTTTTGTTATATAAAACATTATTTACTAAACTTTTTTTTTTTTTTACTTAAAAGAAAGAGTCATACACATTGACAATTCCCAGATGCTGCATGGATACCAATATTTTAAGATTTAATACTACCATAATTTTGTCACAGTATAGTAACAATGCCTTGCATAACAAAGTTAATCTATTCCACAATCTCATTCGTTATACAGGATACTGTTTTCCATAGGTTATTCAGGGAATAATTTTAATCTATTCCCAACTCCAATTCAAAATCATGGAAGATATATATATATATATAATATATATAAATCATTTAAACCATTACTAGTTTATTCAAAAAACACTGATTATAATTTACTAATTTATTACTTAAAAAGTACATTCTATGTACTATCTATATATTCATAGTTCTTTAATCTAGTTTAGCCTGAATCTCCCCAGTCTTACACTGGAGGTGGAAGACTTAACTGTCTCTTATTATCTTGCACATCTATCTGCCTTCAGACTGAAGTCTGTATCTAAAAAAGTTCTCTAAGAGTGCCCAATTTCCTTTTTCTTAAGAAGGTTCCTGATGATTTCATCAAGCATGCATTCTTTGTATTCTTCTCCTCCTCATCAAAAGAAATTTCTCAGTTTCCTCATATTCTTGTTCAAGATTTTGCTGTAGTTCAGAGGTAATATAATAGTAAGAAATATGTTTATCTTCTAGACCTTCATTCATTATTTTGTTTATGAAAATTTTTTATCATTTAAGTGGTAAGTAGAAAGTAAAACAAGTTTAGCTCCCTGCTCTTAATGCGAGAAGAAACTTTTGTGTGGATCATAATGTGGAATGAGTTTATTATACGGGATATTTTCAGTCTGTACATATGATCATGAGGTGAGGTACCACTACATAAGTTTTTGAAGCCAAATATTTGAAAATGTATTAGAAGCACATCAACTTCTTGAAGTTTGCTTAGGTTTAGCTTTATTTGCAGCAAGCTCATGAGTTATCAGTTCTAAGGCATTTGATACTGACCCATAATTATGTAATTACAAACACATAACTGAACAGAAATAATAAAAATAATGAAATTAAAATCATTGGCAAGCTTTTTAAACATTAATAATTGCAAATAGTATTTTAAAAATATTTACCCATCCCAATGTTTATATCAACTATTCAACAATTAGTAATCAAGAGTCTGAAGAAAATCTTTAGAAATACTTACACATTGGTAAAATTCTCTGTAACGACCTTTTGCTATAGATGGGGCATCTCGGCGATAAACTTTTCCAATATGATACCTCTTCAAGTTTGCTATTTTATTCATAGCTAGATATCTAGCTAGCGGAACAGTTAGGTCATATCTTAATGACAATATTTCACCTCCTTGATTAGCAAGATCATAGATCAACTTACTATCTTCACCATATTTTCCAGTCAATGTTTCCTACAAAAAAATGCCTTTATTATTATTTTTTAAGGGAATCAAAAGACACATCTTTAAAATCACTGTCAACAATGCATGAGCAAATTACGAAAGGAAAATTTAAACATTTGCAAGTTAGTTTTTCTACATTTGCAACACAGCTAAAAATTTCTCAGAGCTAAATGAAAGTCTGCTTCTTATACATATTGCCATATACTGTCATCTATCACTACAAAAGTTTAAAAAAAAAAAATAATTTGTAAAAGCGTTATGATTGGATAAGTTCATTCCTTGTTTTTTGGTAAATTTCACAGAAAGAAAAATTATCTCTATGGTCCCAGTATCTATAATAATAAAATAGAGAGTGCCTGTGTGGGTGTGTTTATTAGATGTACAAAGAGATGGACATACTTATCCCAAAAATCTGGCACACATATAGTTCTGGGGTATGTGTACTGATGACACAAAGATGGAAATACCTACACTCCGAAATTTGGCACACATACAGTCAAACTCAAAGTGGTTTCCTTGTTCCAACTAGTTTCATTTAGTAACTAAATAATTTACACCACATATCTTCTCTTAATGAATAAATTTTAAAAAAAACTAATTTTATTGCTTACACCAATGGATAAAATGGAAAAAAAAAAAAAAAAACTGTTAAACTAATTTATTCAGAATCGGTAACTTAACTGATTTACGGAGAGTTTTAAAAAATGTTTGGGCCTTTTTATAATAACTTTACTTCTATTAATTTTTAAATTTTCCATCAAAATAACCTATTCTCATTTTGAATTTTTCACAGATTATAATAACAATTCTTTGCTTTGTTTCAAAACAAAAATGATTAAAAAGATATTAGTTCAGTACTTTTCTGCAATTTACGTTTTATATGCAGCACTGTCATTCCAAATACAGAAGTTTTGCTCCTTCATGATCTGATTAAGAAATAACCTGATAATTTCCAAGGAAATGTGAAATAGCTATATATGAATACATAATCTAATACTGTATTCATTTCTTTAGCAGCACGGCATTACTTGCAGAGTAAATTAAGCTTTTGATTCATGTGTCTTAACTTATAAGTACAAAATTACTTGATTCTTTTTTAAATTTCATTGTTATATACAACAGTATTTTCTGTTTTTCTTTCCATTATAGATTTTGAGTTTATTTATTTTTGTTGACAAGTTTGCTGCCATCTACGAAAATACACATAGTTGGGAAACTGCATTTGCTTGCTAGCTACAAGATAACTCATTGTTGATTGCCTTACCTTAGTATTGCTATAGCAAATGCTTGCAATATTAAGTATTTGGCATACATGAAGGAATTAAATAATACACATGGCATACTGAAATGGATTACTTATTTCTCAAAGCACAAATATATGTTTAAAAACTGCGAATATACTGGGTGAATTTATTTACTGCTAAAAGTGATCTATTATATCTATATTTAAATAATAAAACAGAAAATAATTTAAAGCATCAAAATGAAGACAGGATCTTTGTGTGCATGAATGGGCATATCATATCAGATCTGGCAGCGACTATGTTCATCATACTTTCTCATAGACATATTTTTTATTTGTTTTTGTACATGTATCAACAGAATTTAGTTAGTGTTTCAAATCATTGGTGAGGAAATTCAAGATACTATTCTCTTGTCATCTGTCTATCTTCTTCCTAGTATATCATTCTACAAGTTGATTTACTTAATATAATTATTACATATATAACATTACATTCTAACCCCTGGTGCAACAGATTTCGATTCAAATATTAGTTCTTTTTATTTGTGTAATTTTTTCCCCTTGTCACATTTTTTACTTCCATTTTAGTATGTACATAAGAAGAATTTAAAGAAAAGAAATGATATGAATTTGCATTAAAAAATCTGACATGCTGTTGTTCTTTTGCAATTTCAGTATGTAAATTCATTTAATTGCAATGAAAGTGAGTACAAATAAATTAATAGAAAAGAAATGGTTGTGTTTTAAAATAATATTAAAACATGTATTATACACATATTTATGTTAAAGCAAAGGAATTTTCCTCAGCATTTTCATGCTTAATTATTTTATGACAAAGGATGCACAATACACAACCTCCAGTTCAATCAAAAAGGATTTGTTTGGTAAACAACATTACACTGCATTCTCATAAATCAAACTAATCAGTGTAGAATTTTGATCTTTGTGTCATCAAAGAGGTTGGAAAATAATCCAAGTGACTTCTTTTCTCAGACCCTTTAACTAGATTTACCAAAATTCGGCACTTTTTCAGAAAGCATCCCTTTTCATCAGTTATACTGAGAGTCCTGATAAGAAGAATTTTAAATAAAAAGATTTGATCCTTCTGTGTTAGCATTTCAAAGATTTTAAGTGATGACAAAATCTGATTTTTAAATCAAACATAAATTTAAACAAATTGAATGTAATCTTGCATCAGTAAATAAGTACAAAAGTGACACATATTCCTTTGAAGAAATTACTTTTCTCTGTTCAGGGGTCGTGATTTTCTTTGTTATTTTCTCCCCATTCAATGAACGCATAAATGAAATACACACTGTTATCAGAAGAAGGCTGTAAAAATTTCCATCATATCTACACAGGGTTCGTACACATTTCTGCCCACGGAAATTAAGTACTTTTAAGGACTTTTAAGGAGCATTAATGAAAAAAATTAAGGACCTATGAGCAAATGGGAACTGAATAAATTCAATAAAAATTTTATTCTATGCCTGAATTTCACTTTTGTAATACCATCCTAGAAATAAAATAGATACCAAAGTAGTATGCATTATTACTAAACATGAATTAACCAACATAATTATTAATAAGTTTGAGAATAAAATAAATAAAATAAACTTCATGCAGTTTATCAAGTAGCATTAAATATTTTACTACTTATAGTTAGCTTTTGGACATATTTACTAAAGTTAAGCCTCTAGACATTTACGTTCTATTAATGTCTTATTTTGTCACATACTTGGTCAGTCTATCTAGAGGTTTAGCAAATAATAGGGAGATTTTATGTCAAACGGCATAGTTTAAAATGAGATCATAATCAGCATAATTCATAACAAAAGACTGAATGTTGCCCCTCTGCTGCTTCTCTATAGAGAGACCTGCTGATTGAAACAAACCTGAAAGGCCTGATGTAGGCACGGCAGGCAAGCGTTAAAAGTTAGTCAAGCTCTGCTTAATGCAGTTAATGTCATAGCTTTGTGTAGAGTTTCAGGGGTTGTAACCCAGTTAATATACTTTAAGGTTCCAATAAGCCATTAAAGCGCCAGAGGTGATAAGTTGTTTTATATATAAGTCTCAGTAGATGCAAAGAATAAGTTTTACTTGATGGTGTTGATGGTTACTTGATGGGTGTTGGATGATGTAATCTGAGACAATTACATGGGAAAAACGCTTACTATGAAAAAATTAAAAAGAAGACATTTTAATAATTGCATAGCTAATTTTGATTTTACTAAGAGCTGTTTCGTGAATTATGCTTTATAGCTATATACCCATAGACTCCAACCACTACGGATTCTCCGTAGTTTCTACGGAAATTCATGAAAAACTACGAGCTACGAAAAGTATGGAAAAAACTACGGATTTTACAGAAACAAGAGCAGGAGAACCAGTACGCAAAACGGAACCAACTAATTCATCCGATGATTGGCTGAATACTCGTGTTATCATATATCACGTGTTGAGTGCGTTCCTAGTTTTGAAGAATTAGCCAATCGTAGATCAGTAACTCCAACCGTTAACGACTTATCAATAGTTCCACCCAATTGTCTGTCTCCCAGGTTCCTCGCTGCTGCGTGTTTAGGCTGCATTCGGCTGCCATTGTTGTAGTTTACGGCGAGAGCTTAGCGTGTGTCTTGTGAACTGTGAATCAGGTGGAAAGATTTTTAATCATAATGCTGCCTCGAACGAAGAAGCCAAAATTATCAAAGCAGAAGTTTAAAGATTCATATTCTTCAGAATTTCCATGCATTAAAGCGTCCTGAAATTTCTGTGAATCACGCACACTGCAGTGTATGCAACAAAGACTTCTCAGTTGCTCATGGCGGAAAAAGATGACTGTAAACGGCATGTGTTTTCTCAAAAGCATATAGAACTTGGCACCGTAAAATCTAAAGAAATAACAAATTTCTTAATAAAAGATGATTAAACAGATCCTATAAAAAGCCGAATGCTATTTTGTTCGTTTTTTAATTGAACATAATCTACCGCTTTCTGTTTCGGATCATTCCAAAGAGCTTTTCAAAGCAATGTTTCCGGATTCTGCCATAGCAAAAAAATTTAGCTGCGGTCATACCAAAACTGCTGCTATTGTGAAAACGCTTGCAGAAAATACTGTTGCTGATATTATAAAATCAGTGTGCAGTACATCATTTTCTCTAAGTACTGATGGAAGTAATGATAACAATGATAACAAACTGTACCCATTGGTTATAACATACTACAGTAAAGAGAAAAGGGAGTGATAATTACTTCATTGATTTCTATTTTAGAATGCACGAATAATACAGGAGAAGGTATTTTTTTAATTGTATAAATGAAAACTTTAAAAACAAAGGTTTAGAATGGAAAAATTGCTTATCATTTTCTTCAGATAATGCTAGTAACATGATTGGAAAGTTTAAAGGTGTAGCATCATTTATCAAAATGCATCAACCAAGTATAATCACCCGAGGTTATCCGTGCCACCTCTGGCATATAGCTGCAAAAAAAGCTACTGAAAAATTAATTGGCTCAGAAATTGAAATGTTGATAATAGATATATATTTTTACTTGGAGAAAAGTTCAAAACGGAAGCATAGCTTCAAAGTTCCTCAACAAATTTTGGGACCGAATGCAAAATCTCATAAAATTTTGAAATATTGCAGTACGAGATGGTTGTCTCTTTTAGAATCTATAACAAGGATTTTGGAACAGTGGGATGCTGTGATAAATTTTTTTGGAGATAAACCAGATAACAGTGAGAATGAAGGAAAGAGATTGCAAAACATTAAAAAAATTTTACAGTCACCGACTACCAAATTGTACTTGTTATTTTTGAAAAAATACTTTGCCTTTGTTTATAACAGTAAATATTAATTTGCAACAACAAGCTCCTTATATACATAAATTGAGAAGAGAACTTTTTGAACTTTTAATGAATTTATTTGTTAGATTCGTAAAACCATCAGTAATTTCTAAAGAAAATGAAGATGTTACTCTAACGTCTATTCCATTTCAGAAGTATAGTAAACAAAAAGAAAATGAAAATTTAGTGATTGGTGCGGAAACAAGACTATATTTAAAAAATGCCAAGTTGAATGAAAGTGAAGTGAAATCATTTTTCAATTCTGTGCGAGCTTTTTTTTGTAACTGCATGTTCATATATAATTGATAAATTTCCACTGAGTGATCCATTTCTAAAAAACATGCTGAAGTTGCTGACATCAACTTGAGAACTGAAGTCTCATTTTCATCTGTTCTTTACTTGATGAATACTTTTCCATCCATTATTGATAAAAAATGTCTTAATCAAGTAGAAATTGAATTTTCCATGTATCAAGTAGATGATTTGAAAGAAATTGTAGATTTGCGTATTGATATAGCATGGGGAGAAATTGCCAAATTAAAAAATATGAATGGGTGTATTAAATACTAAGTATTGCCTTCTGTAATGCTTGCTGGTCTTAATAATACCTCATTCAAATGCAGCTTGCGAAAGAATTTTTTCTATATTGTTAAAAAAAATCAGACGGAATTTCGACCAAATTTAGGTCTTAAAACTCTTGAAGCAGTTTTGATTGAAAAAATAAATATGCAGGCAAATGAAGAACTGTGTTATAAAAAAACATTCTCAAAATCAGAACTTAAGCTTGCTAAGCATGCTACATATAAATCTTTGCATTCATAAATTATGCGTATTTTGTTTAATACTTATATGTATCATTCTTGGTTATTTAAATTTTATTTCCCTGTAGAAATCATATCCAGAATAAAGATATGATTTATAGCTTCTGATTTTTTCTATGATTAGTAGTGATTGAAGTACTTTTTATTAGTGAATGCTTGAGGAGTTAAAAGAAAAAATTTCTAATTAAATGCGCATATAATTTACAAGGTATATTTTTAATTATTCAGTTTATATTATATGGATTTTAAATGTAATAAAATTGATTACAATTAATTATTAATTTAAAATTAATGAATGGTTAATTACAACATACGCTACGCGCACATTTTCAAAGTTGTAAAAATGTCGTTCGCGCGTTGACTACTGACAAGGTTTGCTGAAGGTTGGAGTCTATGTATACCTTGTTTATTTTTCAGATTTAACATATTGTATAATAAGTTACCAAAATGAAACTTTATAATATGACAGCGAAAAATAAAAATGTTTTATTTTAATGTTATTTTTTATATATAATTCTAATATATTACCATTATTTTAATGAAATTTATTAATGTTATGATGTTTTAAAAAAATCGCCGAAAAATTCTCAGATCTCGGAATTAAAAATTTTCTATAGAAACTGATCTTAAAATCGCCAAAACGTTGACAAGTTGTCAAATTTAGAACCATTTAATAAAAGAATTCACAACCCCAAAAGCGAAATGTTGTTTAAGAGCTCTTTATTAGAAAAAATGAATTTTAAAATGCTTAGATTTCACTTCTTGCTTATAAACTCGAGTATCCCATCATTTATATTAGAAATAGAAACAAATTATAACCCATGAACCCATTCAAAAGATAACCATATAGGTCAGTGAATTGCCAAAAATATTCCTCCAAAATGCTAATTCACACTCAAAATGGCAGTCGCAAAAACAGAGAAATTTCAGATGATTAAAATTAAGGACCTTTTACTGATTTTGGCTAAAATTAAGGACTTTTAAGGACCAAAAATAGATTTTAAAAAATTTAAGGACTTTTAAGGACCGTACGAACCCTGCTACAGCTAGATAATGCTCTTGCAAAAGAATTTGCACAGAAAAAAGCAAACACAGTTCAAAACGGTAAAGAAAAATATGGTTTTGAGGCCCAATCAACAGACAAATTAGCATTAACCATATAATATCAGCAAATGATCTATGCATAAGCAAAGGAAAAGAATTTAGAAAGGTTCAAATGAGAGATCCTGACTTGTGACCATTAATGGGAGTGCAAAATCCAATTAGCAATATATGGCATCCTTTCATCCAATGACAAAAAGATATTGGGCTTTGTGGGTCCCTTTCTGTCAGTCTCTACTGCGAATTGGAATCTGATGACATGAAGACTTTTAGATGGCAGTTGATCTTACGAAGATCTCGAGTCTCTAGTATTCTGTCAAAGGCATCAGAGCAGTCCTGTTGCTTCCTTTGAATGCAACGAAGACACACAGATATAGAAAAGTGGTACAAATACTGTGATGTCTGTGTTGCTTGAAAACACCTGCAAACACATAAATGAGGAAGACTACAGAGCCATTGCAGGAACAACATTCGAAAGGGCTGCTCTGGATACTCTTAGACCTTTACATATAACTAAGGGTAACAACTATATCCTAGCTGCCATGAAATACTTCAGTAAATGGTTATTACATTATCTGTTTGTTTACATTTTCTCTAATCCAGAAGCTTTATTTATTGCAGAAATCTTAGCAGAAAACCGAATTTAATGATTCGGAGTGCCTCTTCCTATTCACTCTGACTATCTGCAGTATTTAAAGGAGAATTCTCAGCATGGGAAAGACTCTTGGCCAGCAACAAGTTTTTTCTGACAAACCAAGTAGATGTGTAAAACATATGTGTTTTGACCAATGCTCAATAAAGAAGCTATGTGGAGACACACTTGTGCAAGTTTGATTGATCCTTTTTTAACTATAACAGATCACTGTATACACAGGAAGAATAACAGTGAAACAAGAAAGATTTCTTGAAAAAAGTAAATGTTTCATTACTTTTTTTAATTTTTATTTTATTGATTGAATGGTCTTGTACAGAATCTTAGCTCATCATGATTTCAAAAATAGTTGCTACCTTTCACACATTAGCTTGATGAAAAATTAAGTTATAAAAAAGTCTGCGACTTTTTGCCAGGAGAAGAAAATCAGAAAGTGCCAAATTACTTTCTCATACATCAGAAGTCTGCATTTGCTGTTCTTGAAAACTGAGCTAAGAGTCAGTTTTATAAATCTTTAGAGGTAATTAGAATTCTGATTTAGATTTTGGTTTAGGATTACATTATAATATTTCTTTGGTACTCTCTAATTTTGTGCACCCTTACTGAGACTTTGTGACAAACTATTCATGAGGCAAAGCAGTATATCATTAAAATAGATATGCTGCACCCACCAGGTTGCTAAAAAGTATTTATCAGGCAACCCTAGCATGCATGTTAACACATGTCTGTTTTGGCTAGGGTGCAGTGCCAAAGTTATATGGATGCTGGGTTTATGCAATTCTGATATTTTTTAAGTAAAATGAGTTTACCATGTACATGGGGAGAACAACAGTACAAAAAAGATTTCTCAAAAATGGTGTTTTATTATTGATGCTTCTTGCGACTTAAATTTTATATAACGATTGCTTTTGTACGGAATTAGTGTGCCACCATAACAGCTGTTAACTTTTTTGCATTAACTTGGCAAAAAGTTCACCAATAAGTTTATAAATTAAGACACAATAACACGCCGAACAAATACTAATTCAGAAGTCAAACAACAATATAACACTGATTTTTTGTTGTTTGACTTCTGAATTAAGTTTATACATTTTCTCAAAGTTGCCAATGAGTTCACAATTTTTCAGTACGGGTGTGGATAATCAGAAAGTACATATTTTTCTGTGAAAATTCTATGAAAAACAGCATTAAAATTACCAAAATATGATAAAATAATTCAATGATTATGTAAAATAGGAAAATAATATAAATCAGATTAATATATTTGAAAAAAGAAACTGAGACTTAAGAAAGCTGAGAAAATTTAGCAGTCTGAAAATCATCATGAATAGTGAAAGCCACAAAAAGCTTATTACCTTATAACTAAACAAAAAGTACTTACTTTCAATTCAAAAACAGGAGTATCAATAGTTTCAGCTCCATGTCTCTTGAAACACTTTATAATTTTTTCAAAGACTTTTTCTCTACAAGCCATCTGTGCAGGACCAAAATCACGAGTACCCTAAAAAAACATCAAAAAGCATGGTAACTTTACATTCCCTTTCCCTATTTAAAATAAGGTTTATTTATTTTCTGTTGATGCTTTAAAAATATCAATCAATATGTAAGTAAAATTCAGAACATCAAAATAGAAAATTTCAATACTAAGGTTTCTTTTAATTTTAAATAAAATACATATTATTCATGCATAGAAATATATACAAGCAACAGTAAGAGCACCCAAATTTTCATTACCTTCAAAGCTAATGACAGATTTGGCAGAAACAGAATGGACTTTGTCGTATACTTGTTCAGTCACTCTGTTACATAGCCAATATGAAATGTAAGTTATGAGTAACATATATATGCAAGTTAAGAGTACATAAAGTCTGTACATCTACGGTATTGAAATCATAACAGAAACAATGATCAAAGAATTTCTGAACTGCAAATGGGCTTCACACATTACCCTACTTGCTCAACAATGAGAGAACATCTTTACTTCTTAGGTTTGATTTTAAGAAATCAAATCAATATTTATTTTGTCTGGGAAAAAAACCTTAGTTTACCTCTTCCCTTCTATCAGAATTCCCCACAAACAACAGTATTGTTAGCTTGGGTGCACGAACATTGTTAATCATACATAGTTACCTATTTGTTTTTTCAGGCATATCACTGATCAGTACAGAAGATATAGGCCTAAACTGAAATTGTTCAGCTAGGTATGTCTAGTATAATTAGCAGCAGTTATGCAGTTTATATATGTGGTAATTACTTAAGTGGTTTATTTAATATTTAAATACTATAATTATTCTGCATAGTAAGATAATTAAATTCCTTCTTCTCATTCTATAGTTCCATTCATCAAATTACTCTTGTTTGCAAGATCCCACCAAATTTTAAAACAAAAATATAACAAAAAAATTGGTCTTATTTTCAATTAAGTATTGTATATAATTTTTGAATTCACCTTCTTAATCAGTAATTTCATCTTCTTCAATGGGTTAAAATATAGTTTGAAATCAAATTTAGCAAAAGTATTTGTATCAAACTGTTATTAATAGGATCCAGTTCCCACATTTTTCTATGCAGTACACTCCTGAGAAATATCAGCCTCTTCAATAAGTGTATTTACATACTGACATGCATCAATTAATGGTTCTTACTAAGAGATCACACTATACTTTATCAAATACCTAGTGATGCAGGCACTCCTGAGTAGGTGATCACAATCACCCACCATGCATTTTCAATTTAGTACTGTTCATACATGCAATGTTTTCAAACTGTTAGGATATAGGTGGTGTCACCCGATTGTGTAATCATTATATATCTTATTGATTTTAATATTACATTCTAATAGCAATTTCTTGTATCATTTTCCATGCACACAGCCTCCACTCTCTTCAAATTCAGCCCAAACAGACCGAAAATGGTTTTGGAATAATTAAAATTTACTTACATAACTGTTGTTTATTTTAAATTGGCTGACAGTTAAGTTACTGTCTTTAATAGAACCATTATGCATTTATCTGAAGGAAACATTTATAATAAATTCACAGAGAATGAAAATATTGAACTATGACAGTAGAACTAACTAATTTATTAAATGAGTAGATGCCATATTCATGATTACTCGCCCAATGTGACAAAGTTTATTATTCAAAGTATAATCCAGAGTTATCACTGGAGAGAGTATGATGGGCTGAGATGGTATCCGATGTCAAAAGTGAACGCTCAGAACTGCCCATTAACTGGAATTAATAAATTCATGTGACAGGTACACAGAGTCAAAATTAAATAGCTAGTTTTTTCCTCCCAATGCAACTAATAAAAGACTATTGGGAATACTAATTATTATTGTTGTTCCTCTTCTTAAATTGCTGTTATTTTTATTGTTCTTACTGTTATTTTTATTGTTCTTACTGTTATTTTTATTGTTCTTACTGTTATTAGTATTGTTAACTTCTATTTTTATTAATTTATTTCTGTTATTCAACTTGCTTGAAAAATTAAAGTATTGAAAATACCAAAACATTTCTTATCAAAATTAGCTAAGTAAAATAACTTGTGGTGTAAAAGACGTATATGATTCCAGATCAGAAGGACTTACTTCACGGTGAATTGCTGAATTAGGCAACTTCAATTTACCCGAGTCTTCTAACATATGCTAAATGTATTTAATTTAAGAAAATTGCTGACTTGAATCTTACTATCATAACAAAAAGTATATAAGATGGGAAAATTTTTTTTAATGCATCTGAGACATTAAAAATTCACAATCGAGCTTCTCTATTTCATTTGGGAAATTCCTTTGAAAAACAACTAAAACAAAATTTAACACTTTTATTTCATATAAAATTTTAATATAGCATTTTAATAAGCTCAATTCTGAGTTAATAGCAACCTAAGTCAATATTTTATAAGGGTAAAAATAATATCAGAATGAAACCAGATTATTGATTATACAAAGTATATTGTTATTTAATTTAATAACAGTAAACTGCACAAAATATTGTGTTAAAACTTTTTTGTTTTCAAATTTAGTTGATCCAATTAAATGAATTTATTAATTTTAACTTTCTTTTTTAATAACAAAGTATCATGAAGAACACGTACACTGAGTACATAAGGGCTGCCACTGTCATTTCTATTGTTAAACATATGTAACGATTTTTTAGTTACAATATTCAACACATGAAACATATATAACTTTTGTATGCAATAAGTAATTTTTTTCCCCTCATTATAACTATCTTTTGTCTTATTTCTTATTTGATTTTCATAGCACTGCTGCCTTACTGTGTGAAAACTTGCTTCTTTTCTTCCTTTCTCTTTGTTCTACACATGCTATTTGAGCAATTTATATCCTTTTACACGATGTAATCTTGTGCTGACATTAAATCTGGGTGTTTTTATAAGTTTCTGGAGATGTCAAAAAAATATATGTTTTAAATTGGCTGACAAACATATGAAAAAAATAAATATGAAAAACTTTCTCAAAATCATGGTTACAAATTTTTTTTTTTTTAATTTTTTTTATTTATAATTTATTTGAGCCATATTCATGTATTTAAGATATTTCAGATTTAAAAGCAAATAATTTTAGAAAATTCAGAATTACTTTTGGTGTTTTCAAAACAAACTTCTGTTGACTGTCAAGTTCATCTTCACTGTCCAAATCTATACCTTTCCCTGCTGGCATTTTCTTTTTCATCTAAAAAAAGAAATAATTAAATAAAATCAAAATGAATGTCAGAAAAACTTTAAAATAAAATAGATAGGATGTAATCATAAATGTATTTCGATGCAAGAAATAAAAAAATTGCTGCATAATGTAAAATATAATAAGGGCAAAATAGCACCTTTCAATGACAGTAACAGAAAAGTTCTTAGCCAATTGTAATAATACTGTTTAAAATTTGTAAGATAACTAGAACTTATTCATTTTTTTATTCAAAGATAACACATGCAATTAAATGTTGTTTTACAATTTTCTTAGAATACCTTACACTTTTTATATGAACTAACAACAGCCGCTAAGCCGAATATCATAATTTTTTTTGGGGGGGGGGGAAGTGGCTACATTGTAACCCTGTACAATTATTTTATACAAGGAAAGAATTGAAGACTAAAGACATACGATTCTATTAAATTTGTTCTTGCTTCTATTGCAACTTAATGAAGTTAAGCCTGAAATGTTTACTTATTTATTTTACTCACGCCTATTTCCCACACGTGCTTAAGGTTTATTCAAGTCCTGGAAAAAAAAAATCTCACATATACTTATGCAGGGCCAACAATGGACATTTTGCAGCCAGGAGCAGTCTCTGAGAGTCCAAAATTTAAGCACCTACTTAAATTTTATATTACAGTGCCTTCCTTAAATTCAAAAGATATTGCCATCCCTTAATTTTGTAGCTCTATGCTTCTCTAAATTAAAAAAAAAAAAAAAAAAATTGCTTGCCCTAAAGTCTACTGCCTTAATAACACTTTGTGCATGTTTTAAATTCAGATTTTCACCTTGTTTACCAAATTCCATACAAAGTACAAAATTTCATACCCGCTTTAACAATGAAAAAATAATAGGTAATGAATTCCCACAAATTCTTGAATTCCTTTTTTGCAACTTGAATGCTCATAAAATTATTTTGTTCTGCTTTTGATGGCTCTAAAATATGCTTGCAGAATTATTTTAAAAAGCTAATATGATTTGGTCATAAAATTAACCTGTTTGGTTTGTTACCTTAAGTCTAGACTGCTGCTCTCAGTTTTTGTCTGTTTCCTTTAATGCATGGAATGTTTGTTTTAATTAACTTACTTTTTTAAGCCCCTCATTGCACATTTGTTGAGCACAAAGACTTTGTATTGAAAAAAAAACTCATAATACAGTGTCTATATGCTTTCCTGGAGATTCCGAGTTAAAAAAAAATGAAATATCTAAAATTTGTTAAATAAACTGTGCATAATCACATAAAGTTTGTAGCTTTGAGGTCTGGATTATAGATCATTCCGGATTATGGGTGTCGGAATTAATGACTTTTGACTGTATAAATTTTCAATCGTTTTTGCAAGATTCAACCTGCTATATCAATTATCGCATCTTAACAGAAATTTCTCAAATAACAGTTATTAAAAAAATTCTGCTGTTTATTTAAACATTATATATGCACCAGCAAAACTTTCGTGGCAATTTAAATTTCATAAAATATCATGCATCAAAACAGTAGAATACTGGGTACTCTTAATTAACAAAATGATAATTTTTCTTATCATGGTAGTAACAAAAACTGGAATTAATAGATTTAAACATAAAAAAAATACAAATTTCCACACTCACTTCTGTTCAGTGTGAGAACAGGCAGAATATGTTCTCCAATTTGAAAAGAATTCAAATTTAAGACTGATGAAGATGCATTAAATGCATTTTATTGTAGCAACAGAATTTGCACATTATTTGCAATACATACTTTTAACAAAATGAATTCTTTAGAACAGGAATTTTGGGGCAATTTCTCTAGCTGACATTTCTTTATTCAAGTGGCTATCGTATCAAGTCATGGCAGATACTTTAAATTTGTATTTTATAAACTGGATGATTAATACTGCCAATTTTGGCAATTAAGTACAGAGGACATTTTAAAAAGGAAGTACCCTCTAAATACACAATTATGTTAATGCTTTAAAAGATTATATATAGCTTTTCCATGACTTCAAAAAGGGATCATGACTTGGCTGAAAGAAAAAAAGGACGATGAAATTCCATGATTTTCTAGGACATCCATGACTTATATAGTCGGCAACTGCAGTCATGTCCCATATCAGTGTTGAAATGTTTTGCATGTGTTATTCTTTTAACTGATTTCTGGGATTAAAAAAAAAAAAAAAACTTTTTTTAAGACAAGAAACTAAGTTTTAATTTAGACAACAAAAATCAAACAGCAAAAATAATTTTGCTCTTCAACAGCTAAGGATGATATTTTGGTAAAACCATCGAAACTAGTCCTGTGAAAATTTGCAAATATAACGCTGATTTTTGTTGTCCAACTTCTAAATGAATACTTGTTTGGTGTGTTATTTTTAACCTAAATTAAGACAAGATTTCTTAGAATTGTAGAATACTGTCAAAAATACAGTATTTCAATTCACAAATAGTGAAGTTATATATTAAAGAAAGCATGTAGTCAAAAGGCAACTCTCAAGAATGCAGTAAAAATACAAGAACAGTCAAACTTCGGTATAACTGAATTCAAGGGACTGGAAGTTTGGTTCACTATATCGAACCTGATAAGAAAAATGGATTCTCTCAAAAACGTGTAAAAATTTAATTATGAATAATAATATAAACTGATTAATATCGTCACATTTACCTATGACATTTTTAAAAAATCGTATCAACATATAATAATTATTATTATTTAAGTCATTAAATTGGTCAGATATTCTTTTCCAGTTTCACTGTATGTTAATATCCAAATTACTTAGTACAAATACCATTGTTTTGATTCATTCCTCCAATTACCCATTTATAAATACAAAGGATTATTTTATCTGTAATAATATAAAAACATTAAAAATGAATTTAAAAAATACTGAATTTACCTTTAACTTAATTAACTTCTGAAAGCAGAAATAATTTCTAATTTGCTGCTGATGTAATGATGTTGATTGCAGGTAAATTTATACATGGTCACAAAGCAAAAATTCAATAACCTTTATAAAGAATATAGGATATCTTTCAAAAGACTTACACGAAGGATGCAAAACCCTTATACAAAGAATATTAGTTGGACAGCATTCATACTCAAACAAAATTAGACGATAGGGATAAAATTACATTCCCTAAAAAGCAAATCAATTATATAGCCAGATGCCAGTACAATTCAGTGCTTTCTCTTTCTCTGAATAACAAAAATTCCACAATTTCCGCATCTGACTTGAATAGAGTTCTGCCTGACAGGTCAGTCAAAAAATTTTTACGGAATCGGACAATCTATTCATATTGTTGGGTTCAATGGTCACCAACACCACATAAAAGATACTTAAGGATAATTTAGATATGCCTACTGTATTCCTGTTCTCAAATTGCTCTCACGTTCACCTTGCTGAAACTTTGTTTAGAATGCAGAGAAAAGTGGAAGTGAAGATAAAAGCAAAGTAACATAAAAGTGTTTGTTTTATGGATGAAATGTGAATTCTACCATCCTAAACACTGATTTTAAAGGTTAGTAACTTTTTTATTTAAATTTACAGAAATTATCAAAAAATATGAAAACTACATAAATTACTCTTCTGTTATCAGGATCAGATTCAAAAATGTATGTATATATGCACGGGTGTATGCATGTATGTGTGTGTGTGTAGGTATGTAAATACATGCATACATGAACACATACATGCATATGGCAAATAAAATTGTGCTTTTATTCAAAAAAAGAATTCTGAAATCAGCAGGAAGCCTGATAATACCATTTCATACAGCAATTTATCATTTTCAAAGAATTAAAAACTTGCATTTATATTTCGTGATAAAATTTTTATTTTGATAAGAAATATACAATACAAATACAAACTAAAGGGGGGAAATGGAAGTTTAATTTCTGTATTTCCTTTCGACCATTAATCCATAACAAGTTATTTTATTTTTTGTATTATTCCTTTAAATACTTTTATGTATGAATTTTCATGCAAAATACAGTGCTAAAAAAAGTAGCATAAAGAGTTACACAGTCTGACATTGAATGAAAACCTTTTGTCTCAAATCTCTATATCTGGGTTTCCCAACAGAGTTGGTCGAGAGCTCTTGAGGGTTAACGAAATTTTAATTAACCTTGTTGACAATCAAAATATGCACAGGCACAATGAAGATCTTACTGATTACAAAAATATATATATAAAATAAACAATTGATTGTTTATTTACATAAAGCTGTATCATGTACAGAAGAATTTATGAAATAAATAGAGGGGAAATACACAAAAACTATTCAATGTTTTTAAAAACTAACAATACTTTTTTGATAAATTTTATATAAAATGTGCAACATAAAAAGGTAAAATGCAGGAACACAAGAAAATACAACCAAAAAATATGAAGAATGTAAAACTTCCTCAGAAAATCAAACTATTGTTAGCCATGTGCAAAAGTTAAGGCATTGAAAACATGAATACACCTCACAGAACTGCTTAAATACAATATATTTATTCTTGATACTGATGCAGTAAAGCAGGATTGTCAAGCACAAGGCTTATTCAAAGTACACGTGTATGCTAAGTGTTAGAAAAGTCATCTGAGAGAAATATCCTAAAATATTATTTGTTACTGGATAACATTACTCACTTTTCCTTTTTCTTTAATAGTAGAAAATTTTTCTGAATAAGTCAATAATTTACTACAGAAAAGAAGAAACAGGATGAGTATTTTTAACAAGGTGATTTAAGAATAAAGCAATTATATGCAAAATATTTTTTTAAAATGCATCAATACATCAAGCACAGCTATCACATTAATCAAAATCAATCTTTTATGCAATCATAATTTGTTTTTTTCATCTGTTATATCAGAATTTGTTCTGTCTGGAAACTTGCCCATATTTGTAAAATAAAAAATATTACAAAAAATAAAACAAACTTAATAACATAAGCAACTTTTTTAAAACTTTCATTATACCTTAGTGAAACTGTTATTTCTGTGCAATTATTTGTATTAGAATTATATTGCATGCTAATTTTTATACAGAAAAGGTAAGGGGGTCAATGAAGAAAATAACTCTTTTAAAAGAGGTTGATGCAATAAAAAGGTTGGGAATCCATTACATAGTCATTTGCAAATACAATGGTTTGAAGATCTGCAGGGAGTTCACAGAAAATCTATGAATTATGAGTAACCAACTCCCCTTGCAAGACATTAAATATGCTTTAAAAAGCTCGTACTTTAAAACAGGATAATAATAATCTTAGTAATACCTCTAAATCAGAAAGAGGTCTCATTAAAGTAGCAACTGTTGTAACAGATGATTTAGGAAACCAATGGAACTGAACTGTGATGAATTTCACCAAATTCTTCCACATATTTAATTAATATGCAAGCCTAGCAAAATCTCTCATTATCATCTAATTGGAAGAAAATGAAATTTGAACTACAAATAACAAAAACATAAATATCCACTTTAAAACAAGATAAAAATACACAAAGATAAACTATTTCTATATTTGCATGACAATTTAATAGGTTTATTATTCCAAATTTCATACATTGTGCATTTAAAAACATTACACACTGAAAAGTGCACATACAGATTGAAGGAATCCAATGTTATAAGGGCACTGAAAAAAATTAACTTAATAAATTTTATTGCACACCGAAATTAAAAACCATACAGCCGAGTTTCTTAAAACTCTTTTCAGTCGCGACCCCTTTTTATCACTGGGATTTTTTTCCCGACATCCAGGAATCCACAATATTATAAAAAATTTTGTGGGACCCCATAAGTATTGCACAAATCCGACACATGCATCAGCGAAACTGTTAATTTTTTTCACTTCTACTGTAATACACAATTGCAGTTTTAGGTCATTAACTTTATTTTCTAATTTTAAGACATACAGGGGTTGGACAAAAATATGGAAACACATTTAAAAAAATATATTTCTTTGCTTAATATGGTGTAGGAAACCCGTTGGCATCCAAAACAGCTTGCAGTCTTCTCGGAATGGATAAATACAGTTCCTGTATGTTTGCCAAGGGAATATTATACCATTCTTCCTGCAAAATGGTGGCAAGTTCAGATAACGATGTTGGCGGTGGATAATGAGAACGCACATTCCGTTCCAATGTAGACCACAAAGGTTCGATAATATTCAGGTCTGGTGACTGTGGTGGCCAGGTGACAACTCATCCTAGTGCTCAGAAAACCAGTCCTGGACAATGTGAGCTGTGTGAACAGGGGCTTTGTCGTCTTGGAAGACACCATCACTATCGGGGAACATGTAAAAAAGTTTGTACCATGGGATGACTTGATCGGCCAAAATGTTCACATAAGTCTTGGCAGTCATGTGCCCTGACACAGTTATCATGGGGCTAGCAGAGAACCACGATATGGCTGCCCAAACCATAACAGAACCCCCACCATGTTTCACTCTTGGCAACAAGCAGTCTGTATTATAGGCTTGAGATGGCGTTCTCCAGACGTAAACTCGGCCAAGAAATGGGAAACAATGTGAAAGAAGACTCGTCAGACCATATTACTACTTACTCGCTTCCACTGCTCTATAGTCCAGGCTTTATGACTTAAACACCACCTTTTCCTGTTACGGGCATTAGCATCACTGATGAGTGGCTTCTCAATTGCAGCACGGCCAGCAATTCCCTATTTATGAAGCTCCCTTCTAATTGTTTTGGTACTCACAGGATTTGGTAACACAACATTCATTTCAGCAGTAACTTATGCAGCTGTGGTCTTCTTATTTTTCGTCACAATTGCCCTTAATGATCGTCTGTTACGATCACTCAGGACACACGTCCGCGCTGTGATTTAGCAGATGATGTTTTTCCGCTTTTCAAATATGCGGAATAAATCTTCGATACAGTACCTCTTGAAACACTAAACACCTCGGCTCTTGCTTACGGAAGCACCTACCGTACGTGCTCCAACAATTTGCCCACGTTCGAAGTCTGTTAACTCTGACATAATGCAATGACAACCTCACATAACAGTACTCCGACAACTCAACTGTTTAGCACATTTACGAAGTTGTATAGGTGGCGTCAGTAGTCAAAAACGCCAGCGCCACCTACATATTTCATTAAAATCAATCTTTCTTTTCAAACATGCATTTCACAAGGTATTTCCATATTTTTGTCCATCCACTGTAGAACAATGTGAAAATTTTAAATAAGTAGCAGACGAAATGACAACGTCGTATGCAAAGCAAGGAAACTGAACGTTTATATTAAAAAAAAGAATGCATCAAAACGTTTTCATTTTTTTTCTTTGTCTGTATTGTCTTATCTTTATCTATTTTCAAAAACATTGTGCAAAAATATTTGGTAATTGTACAATTATTATACTCAGTTAAAGAAATATCAAAGCTGCTAAAACTTTTGGCGACCCACAATTTAAGAAAACCTGCTACACAGGATTGATATATATATCCAGAGCTTACGAGCTTATCTGAATAACAAATCAGTGATTTTCGATTCAAATAGAATTAAATGTAATAAATGTTTGGCCTATGAGTATCATTTACTAAATCTAGTTTACTGTATATGGAAAGAAATTTAAATTTCTTCTCATTGATACACTCAACAGTTCACAGTTCTATTAGCTCAAGTCCAATCAATGTCAAGTATAAAGTCGACATAAAAGAGTACCATGCTGTTTGATTTATTTTACTAACATTAAAAAAAGCTTAGAACTGGAAAAATAGAATGTTTAGAAAACTGCTGCATGTGTCATTTCTCAAACTGTCACATGTTGGTAGTCATGCAGTGATGAAAGCCAAAAATAATAAATTGGCATGTTGGCCTTATAGATGTAAATTATTCAGCAAACGTAAAATCACAACCTTCAATGTAAAATGTTTCGGTTTGAGATGGATCTTAAGCAGAAAGGTGCTGCAGAGGATTTCAATTATTGATCATGCAGGTTTATGCTAATAAATTATTGTTTCTTCAGTATGGAGGTATTTTATTTAGTGCTAGAGTGAAATTATTAATCAGACTCTCTACATGTTTTATTACACAAAAATATCAAATATCCATGCATAAAGTATGAGGGAAATGTTGCTGGTGGTTTAAAGGTCTAAATTTTAGATCATTCTGGATACTGGATTTCATACTATGCACTGTAATATATACTGAAAGAACATGCTATTCGGCAGACTGTACGTACAGATTTGTAGTTATGTTTTTAGACTGATACTATATGATTAAATTTCAATAATTTAGTATAAAAATGACATTACCTGTGCAAAGGAAAGATCATCGTTTAATCTAATAATGATACATATCTAAAAAGCTGCAAGATGGTTACTCTAATATAATGAAACATAAATACGCCTAAAAAGACTGGCCACAATTATGATTTCACTCAGAAACTCCAATGCTGAAATCTGAAGTTTCTGGCTAAATGAAAGAATAGTCTACTTGCAGCTACACCTTAATATTAAAACAACTAATAATGCATACTCTTTTAACCAAAAGAAAAATTCATCTTCTGTGATTGCTAATTTTAGTATTAAATATGTACTATTACAGCACTAAAAAGATCATTTCAATTGAATGAGAACTATTTTCAACACATTATAAAATATCAACTCTTAACCCAGGAGGACAAATGCTCCATTCTCATACATGAGGACAAGCATAGGATATATTCGACCCACCATCAATATATCCTTTTCTCAAATTATTATTACCTGAAAGATGTTTTGTATATCTACAAAACATCTACTTTTTACTTTCCATATTCTCAAATCATTATCCACAAATATTGACACAAATATGAAAATTTCCAAATTATATTTATCATATTTAATACATATAAATTATATTAAAATACCAAAAAATAAATGATGATTTTATTATTTTTCTTCATTAAAAATAACATTACTAGATTATTTTATGATTATGTAGTGTCATCTACGATTCCTCTTTATCATTAATTTCTGTACATTTTAATTTTTGTAAGATGGCAATAAAAACAACTGTTCGAAAGATAAACTTTTTTTGGAATATCGTTTTCAAAAAGGCTACTTATATTTTTTGTTTCAATCCTGTTCCCTTGTTAATAAAACTGTTTAAAGTTTGTTCTTTATAGTATATTAATAATACTTTAGATTTTATTCAACAAACTTCATTGGTGATTACTGTTGGTGGAGATATTGATTTGTCTGTGCCTGGAATGGGAATCTGAACCATTCTCAGCCTTGAGTTGTTTTTTTTTTTAAATTGTAACTCTTCATCATCTTGAAATTCTAGTCCCATAATCAACTGGAAATGGTATTAATTCTGGAAAGAGCATCTGCAACGTTTTCTTCTCCCTTGATGAAGCGAATATTCGTTGAAAATTGCCTTGCTTGTCTGACAGAGTCTAAATTTTGACAGACAGTGTCTAAATTTTGTTGAAAAGCAAAGGTGATAGGTTTGTCATCCGTATATATGCTGAAAGACCTTCCTTCTAATATGTACCTAAAATGCTTTATTGCCGTGTAGATAAGATCTCTCGATCATATGCACTGTACATTCTATGTGTGTCGGTTAAGGAGCGCGAGAAGAAACCTAATGGACGATTATCTCCCTGGTCAATTTGATAAATGACGGCCCAATAACTGTATCTGAAGTATTGCATGCGAAATGTATAGTAGCATCAGTTGAAGGATGAACCAGAATCGTGGTGTGACAAAGTTCATTTTTGAGGTTTTTGAATGCATTGCGAGAATCTTCAGCCCATGTTAGTGGTATTTTACTATTTTTGCATCTTCCTCTGCATAGTGAGGTTAGAGGTTGTTGAAGCATGGCATATTTGAGGAAGAAGCGTAGATAAAAATTGATCATCCCTAAGAACCTGCGCAAGCTGATGGATGTTATAGGTTCGGGTATGCTTTGTTTGGCCTCAACTTTCATCGGAAGAGGTCTTATTCCTTCAGTTGCAACTTCATACTCCAAATAACTAAGTTTAGAAGTGACAAAAATACATTTTACAAGATTGATGCATAAACCATAGTCGTTCAGCCTTTGAAAAAAAATGTGTGTAAGTGCTTACAGTGCGACTCTTCATCTGGAGAAGGGATTAGTATGTCATCTAAATAGCAGAATGTAAAGTCTAATTCTGATAGTACCGTACTCATGAATTGCTGTAATGTCTGTGTCATGCTGCATAAACCAAATATCCTAAATGGGAATTCAAACAGTCCAAAAGGAGTTATAATGACCATTTTTGGGATGTCATTTTTATGCATTGTAATTTGTTGATAAGTTCTATAAGTCAATGGATGAAAAACCTTCTAGTAGCCTTTTTTGAAAACAGTATTCCAATGAATGTTTATCCTTCGAACTTTTTTTTTTGTTGCCATCTTACAAAAATTAAAATGTATACAGAAATTAAAGATGAGATGATGAAACATAGAGGGTGCTACAATTGTCTGATTAGATTTTTTTTCCTATATGTAAATGATTTATTACTTGTATGTCTTCTAAAGTAATCTTAAAATATTTTCATAAAAATAAAATTCTGTAAAATTTAATAGTATAAAAAATAACTGAGATTAATTAGAAAAAAGAATTCAATATATTATAAAAATCCCTTCATATAAAGTAAAATGCTGTCAAATATTGTGGTTTTTCGCTAAAAACATTTCCGACACATTGAAAATAACCATGTTTTATTTTTGGAAAGTAAAAGTTGAAGATAGAAAATCCAACAAAAATTACAAAATTATTTAGCAAATAAAGAAACTAGAAATTTAAAACCCAACCTAAAATAAAGTTTATACCCTTGATGACAAGTACTGAAGAAATGTAGGCATAGTTAATCGTGGTTTAAGAACAGTCCTTTTTACAGATGCAAGATCAAATAGACTCCATATGCTAATAAGCGGGTTAAACACAAGCTCCTGCAAATGCTTGGGCATTTACAAAAAACTAAATAATTTATTATATTTCATAATTGCTTTATCTTTGTACAAAGGGTTTACTTAAAAAAGTCTTATTCTATTTTCGTATGGTATTTTATATATTAAAAGTTATCTCTTACAACAAAAATTATACTTGAATGTTTGTGATATTACAGCAATGACCAGCAAAATGCAATTCTAAATAATTTCAGCTCAAATCTCAAACTAATAATTATTATGCACAGTTTAAAAATTCAATATTTCCCTATCATTAGAAGCCACCTGGCAGATAAAACTACAATAATCTCACCAACCACATCAATTACAATATGAATATTACAACTTCTATACCTCTACTAATACTGTTATTCTCTATCATTATTAAGAATCTATTAAATTAGTTTTATAGTCCGAAGTATGTACTGGTTTTTCAAAACTAATTATCATCAAGAATGAGAGAATGACAGTACCTAAGGATGTTGACAAAATAATTGAAGTAAATGTAGAATAAACAATGTCTGTGCACATCTTGTAATCATCACTGAGCACATAACGTATAAAAACCATACATGGAGCAGTCCACCTTTGATTAAAAAAGAAAATCTTTTTTGAAGAACCATGAAGCATCCCTAAAGATATTCTAAACAAAAACATGATGGGAAGTTGTTTAAAGCGAAATGGAAACTTATAAGTGCATTGTTTATTTTTATTTGAAGTGGCTAAAAATACATATATATAAACTATTTAAAGTCATAAATTACATATGGATGGATTAAAACCACCAAGTAATCTAAATTTCGAAGGGTAATAATTTAAATGAATTGCAAGAAATGGAAACAAAAATTCCAAATTTATAAGTTCACGTCTGGTGGTATTACTAAATCACCTGAAATTACAGTAGCTATTTTATTGCATATTATTGGTTAAAAAGCACTTGAAAAGTTTAATACTTTTAATTTAAGTGAAGAAGATAAGAAGGATGTTGACAAAATAATTGAAGCTTTAAAAAACAAACAGGCTTCCCTTAATTTTCCAAAACAAACAGGCAAACGAAAGTTTCAGTTTTGATAGACATGTTTTTCTGTCGAACACAACTTGTAGTGAATCCTTTGATCCTTTGATAATTTTTTAACCGATTTAAAGAAATTAAGTAGCAACTGTGGATTTGCAGAATTAAAAGATAGTTTAATAAGAGATAGAATAGTAAGTGGAATTCTAAATAAAAATCTCAAAGATGGATTATTAAGGGAAGGTCAGTTAACATTGAAGAAATGTATTAAAATGTGTAAAGCTTTTGAATCAGCAGAACTTCAGCTGAAAACTTTTAATCGAGGAAAATAAAATAGAAGTAATCAAACGTAATAAGTTTTCACCTTCAGATGAAAAAAGTCAGCTTTGTAAGAAAAACTATCATGTAAAACAAAAGCAACAAAGTACTAAATCTTCTTCAAACTATCAAGGAAATAAGTACAATAATCCGAAAAAATGTAGAACTTTTCATAAGTTATACAATTGTCCTGCTTATAATAAAATTTGCTTGTACTGTAAAAAGAAAAATCACTTTTCTAAAATGTGCACTTATAAAAATGTTAATGTTGTACATAATAATTTAAAGCATGAGTTGCATAATAATGCTAATGAATATATTTTAAGGTCAGTAGAAGATACAAATCCATTTTTTAAAAATAGAACAGAATGGTTTGAAAAACTAAAAGTAAACATATCTCAATATTTATTTGTTAAGTTGGATACTTCAGCTCAGTGTAATGCGTTACCATTGCCTAAATTTAAATAATTAAATTTAAGAAATAAATGTTTGACTAAATCAAAAGTCAATTTAAATAATTACAATGATACTACAATTGATGTATTCGGAAAATGTAAATTATTATATGAAACATCAAAAGGGAACAAGGATGAAATAGAATTTCAAGTCATAGCATGTGATAAAACTGTTCCAACTATTTTAGGTTTACCTACTTTGCAAAAGTTAAACCTAATACAAAGGATTTGTACAGTAAATCCTAATTCCAATGAAAAGTCACCAGAATCTTTAAAAGGATATCAAAATTTGTTTAAAGGAACTGGAAATTTAACTGGATGTACATATCATATTAAATTAAAACCAGGAAGCTGTTGGCTAAAATAGAACCCTTGTAGGAAAATTCCACTTAACTTATTAAATCCATTAAAAAAGGAATTAGCAAGAATGGAAAAAGATGGTATTATTAAGAAAGTTAACCAACCAACAGAATTCATGAATTCATTAGTGGTAATAAGGAAAAAAAAATGGTAATTTAAGAGTGTGTTTAGATTTCCAGCACCTTAACCAAAATATACTGACAGAACATTATCACATACCAACCTTTGAAGAAATTTCATCTCAAATGACAAATGCAGAGGTCTTTAGTATTTTAGATACAAACAAAGCATTTTAGCAAATTAAACTGTCAGATTCAAGTTGAGCATTTACTACATTTAACACTCTGTTTGGTAGATATTGTTTTTTGAGCTTGCCATATGGACTGAGTTTATTCCCAGAAGTTTTTCTGAAATTTGTAGTGATTTAGAAGGATTTCAAATGTACATAGATGACTTATTAGTTTGGGGTTTTAAGATTAAAGAAGTTGTTGGACAGAGCCAGAGAAAAGAATGTTAAATTTAATTTAAATAAATGTAAATTTGGGCTGAATGAAGTGAAATATATGGGACATTTATTTTCTAAAGATGGTTTAAAACAAATTAAGACAAAATTAAGGCTATTCTAGATGTAAAAACAACACAGTACCTCCCTTCCCCTCCAAAAAAAAAATTTTGTTGCGGAAACCTACAAGACTTTTTACTAGGTATGTTTATCATAAGGTTCTTAAATATTTAGTGATATGATAACAACTGCTAAAAGAGTCCTGCAATTTTTAAACGAAAATCATAAATCCAGTTCATTAGACTTTTGATATTTTATTTTTTTCCCTATTAAATATCCGATATTAAAACTGCTCAAACTAAGCACAGAAAACTAATATAAAAAAAGCCAACAACATTCTCCATTTAATTTAAAATGCATAATTAACAATGACTGCAGAATTAAAGCATCTACAAAATTTAAAAAAAAAAAAAAAAAAAAATCATATTCTACAGTAGAAAACTAAAAATATAAACAGTGGAATGAAATCATCACACAAATACTGAATTTAGTGCGAAAAACAAACCAAATCACAAGCACCATATTCTAGGCAGGTAGCACATGGAATATACAAGGTGACAGTTATTAATTTCTAATGAAACCACGTTTTAGGGACAAATAACTTATCTTCAATTAACTGCAATACTCACTTTATGATTCTTCTGATCTCCGTTCATCACAGTAGTCATTTCAGATTTATAAATTCAGTAAATTACACAGATAAAAAATTACCTACGCAATATTACGCGATTTACTGACGGAAGCTCAAAAAGTGAAAATGCCACGCAAAGAGTACTACCACTTTAACCAGAACCTTCTTGCGTCAGCCAATCCGGAGTATTGTAATATTTTTAATTTCTCCCGCTTGGTTGGATATCGGTGTCGCACATCTTTTAATCCAAAGCCAAAGATTCTGCGAAAGATAAAAACATAACAGAAGTACCCTATGAATTATTATGTATAAAATATGAAAATGTCTTTTTTGTTTAATCAAAATTATTATGTTTAAAGTAGTCTGTAGTAAACAGGGAAATGAAGAAAATTTATGGTTTATTCTATTTCTTGAAATCAGTTTTTCAGAAATGCGAGTAAAATTGAAGTCTGAAACTCTAAATCGACTTCAAAATAAGTTATCTATATGTACTAAGTTGAACGATGGAGTAACCTCTTTTCAGGAGTATCCTTTTATCTCTTGCTCTTTTGATAGTGCCAAGCGCACTTCCATGAGAAATAGTGTTTATCTTATTTCGTCTCGTTTCACAGTTTTAATAAATGTAACAGTTTTACCCCGCTTTAAATATAAGTATGTTTATTTACTAGTCAAACATAAATTATTCTGTATAACCTGAAATGATAATCAGAAGTCTAAGGGCGTTTGATGAATTTCATTCTTATTTTCTTTTCCAAGAAAAGTGGAGAATTTCCAATGCTACAAGAAACATGCAAGAAATGAATACGTGCGTGAATTCTTTTATTTGCAAAAGATAAAGGATCTACTTTTCAAATATACATTTTCTTAAATTAATATTTCAGTTACAGAAATAAATCTTGCAAACAATTAAAGTCCAAAAAAAAGGGGGAACGTTTGTTACAACTGATGTAAAAAAAATAATTGAAAGAGTTATGTTTCAAAAGAAAATAATGAGACTTAGTTTTTTGCAATCGAGGGGCAATTCCTGATAAATTAGCTTAGAATATAACAACAAGTAAAAATGCGGTAAGAACACTATAAAATCCATTCAAATGTGTTCACCAAATTTTTTATCCTTGAATTCACGCCTTGACCCACCCGATCCTTATCAGAAGTCGAGTAAAAAGATGTTTCTACATCTTGAAACTAGAGAATAAAATACGATCTGTGTGTGTGTGTGATCAGAGCTTCAGTGAAAAATTGGGGTTCTCTGATTCAGGCGAAGGCAGTTCGTAGAGCAGGCTCCTATTCTAGCGCTTTCCCAGTGTAAAAGTTTCATCAGAGATTTCAAACAGTAAATAATATTTTAGAATACAAAGTAGCAGAGAGAAGCTCTACCATGGTAAAATATTGAAAGTACTTCAGTAAATATAAATTTTTCCCTTTCACAAGTCCTTAATAGTAATGATATCTTGCAGATATATAACAGCATGACGAATAAAAAAGAAACAGTTTACGGAGTAACCTGTGCCACGGCAACCAGTGATAAAGAAATGTCATAGTTGTAAGAACAGTCTCTTACACATACAAAATATTCTAATAGTTAACAGGTATATCGTATACAAAGAGGAAAATTTATGTATCGGCAGAAGAAGCTATCAGAAATACAAAAGATCAATAGAGAGCGTGGTTAAGGGGGATAGACTTTAGTGTGGTTAATATTATCTCATATTCGCAATTATGAAGAACTGCCGAATGAATGGAGGATAGGGGGAAAGGAAGAAATGCTGCTAAGCAAGTTGTTTACAATCTGATTGAAATACGTTTGAATTCAAAATACAAAATGAAAACCAAATAGCTATTTAAGGGCGGATGAACAATAGGATTAATCAAGCAGTCTCAAGACAGCACGAGGTCTCTTACAATTCCTATTGCTGCAATAATCATAAGTCATAATGGGTATGAGATCATTCTCAATATGCGGAATTTTCCAAAATAATTTTTAGGAAATGAAGGCCGTATGCTTGTGGATTTCAAAAGTATGAAACTGACGATAAACTGCCTCATTTCTGATAAACCAACGATAGTTTGCAGCTTCTCTCAAAACAACATTCTATAATACTTGCGATTTTTAAAGAAGAATCACACGCGTTACCCCAAATTTGACAGTTATAGCTAAATAACATGGCCTTATATGATGATGATGATTTGAATATAGATGAGTATTTTGTTGAATATAAAAAAGTTGCTCCGAAAAAATAAGGGACGAAATATATCTTTGCATACTTGGAACTTGGATAATACTTCTTTAACCCTTCGCAGTAGTATGTTGCTGAACTGAAAACTCTCTGCAGACAGGTGTGTCATACATACATCAGTTCCAAATGTCGCTAGCAGCCGGGTGATGCACTGGTGTATCGCCGTTTGCATTGATCTTCGAAGCGGGTGGGTCATATATGCACTTTTAAACATACACATTATTTAAAAAACATTTTTAAATCACTAGATGACGCTCCGTGTCCACTTCAGTTAGCTTACTTGAACATATACATTATTGACCTTGTATCCGTGAAGTACTTTCTGATTCTGGTGATTCGTTTCGATGTAGGAAGAAATGACATAAAGTAAACAAGAACAAGCTGATGCACAGTTAAGTCTTCACTCGATATAAACATTGAACAGATTCCGATGCTTCAAATTTGTTTTTTGTTTTTTTCCCTATGGGAAGACTAAGAGTGGAGCTGTAGTTTTAGAACTCTGGTTTGTATTCAGTTTGCATCTTCTTTAGATAGCTGACGAAAGTTTTTTTGCACCGGTTAAGAGAGTTAACCCTTTCAGAACCAACGTCGCGTAGACGCAACGCAACGATTCCACTGTTACCAACCCGGCGTCGTTTATACGCAAAGAACTCCAATCAATCTTTTCAGCCCAGCGTCGCGTATGCGTAACTTGAAAACGGCGGGAATTTTTTATAGCTTTTTAAATGCCAGTAGATGGTGCTAAATAGTAAAAATTTTTACATCGGTTTAGTCATGTGGCTTTTGTCCTTCATGTGTGAATGTCAGTTTCTGTTCTGTGCTTCTGCTTTTGGTAGATTTATTGGTGTAAGCCAATTGGGAATCATAGCTCTTTAAGTTAAAAGGACACCGGCGTGTTTGTTTATTTCGTTAGGAATTTCTTTTCTTTTCTTTTTTTTTTTTTTCTTTCCTGTTCTCTTTGTTTTTATTCTTTGCGTTTTCGTTATTAGAATGTGGGGTAGTGCATCCAGCTCAATGTTTTCATTTATGTAGTTTTTTATGTTAGGAGAATGGGGAAAAACACATCCAGCTGACTATAGCTGGTGTTATGTCGCTGAACTTCCGTAATGGAAAAAAATCAGATCAGTTATCCTCTCTTATATTTATTTTAAAACTTAACATTGACTTTCTTGGTTAATTAGAAAGTAACTTTACAGCATTATTACAGAAAGAGAAAGGCATCAGCTTTCCCAGTGCATCTTACTTGTCGCCATATGCTCAGCGAAAAAAACCGTCATTGTCGTATGAGTTGATCCTCGTGTTGTACTATTCCACACACAACAAAATTATTGAATTGGAATTTAATTACCTACACATAATTATTGCTTAATTTCTTTTACATTGAGTATTTATAATTTTGTTTTCATGTGTATAGCATTTGTTTTCATGTGTATAGTTATAATTTTAGTATTTTTCATTTTCATTTATTTCTATTAATGTGATATTCTCTATAATACGTAATAAGAATTAGTATATTAAACGTAACTTTAAAAATTGAGGTCATTATATTAAAACGCTGATTTTATATGAATATTTTTTTGTAAACGTAGGCTTAACTGCTGAAAATGCGTGGGCCGGGGGTGACATTCCATTTCGGAGGTTAGGTCCCGTGGCTGCTCTTCATTCTCTGAGCAATGATCCAAGAGTTAAACTAACAGTGCGATATGTAAGAGAAAGAAATTTTTAACGGAAAAAGAGTATATTCGAATTGTTATGCCCATGAATGTCCATTCAAGCCCATGAGGGACTATTTTGACACCGAAGACACTAGATTTCAGTGCGATTTTGATACCGAAATTTTGTCAGAGACTGAATTGTTTTGCTTTCACCTCACAATCCAGCAGAACAGTGGCTATTCCATCATGAACTTGATTTCTTAAGTAACTGAAGCATTACGAATTTACGAGAATTGCAGAAGTAAACTTAATTCAAATTTATGTGAACAAAAGTGATTTTTTTAGCATATTTTCGACAATCTAATGAACATAATAGTTGAAGAAACTAATAATTTCTGTGAACAAAAGATGAGTGAAAAATCGGTCTTTATCCCAAATCAACATACTCCTGTAGGTGTGTTTAAAATGAGGGGATTTCTAGGATTAAATATTCTGCAGGGAATAATTAAAAAGTTAATGAAAATGTGTTTTATAATGTGAGATGATAGTGACTAGATTAAAACAAAGTGCCTCCTTTCTGAATCCTTTATGCTATAATATTTAATCATACATTTGATTATTTTTTACATTTATTTAGCTATAGATTTAGGTAAGTCTTTATAGCATTTTATCAAGATGAGTCAAATATTTTATTTTGCATTTAGATTTTAGTTAAATGTTTTTCAGAATCTCTTGATCTTCTGTATTTATGTTTATATAACTTTTAAATACCATTACAAAAAAAAAATCAACACAATTGATAAAAAAATATTTTTAACGAATTTTTTCAAGTTAGTCTTAGCGACGCGAAATACTCAGTCTTGCGAGATCTTAGTACCGCAACAGCACACCGTCTCCAAGGTGAGTTGCACTAATCGACATGCTGTTGCGTAAGAGGATAAAGTACTTATGCATACATGATACACCCTTCGTGAAGGGGTTAATAGGGGGCAGCCATGGGAGATGATAGTATTGGAAGGCAATAATTGAAATTAACTAGAAATATGATTTTTTTAAATCAATGTCCTTATTCTCTTCTTCTGGGAGATGTGACAGTGCTAATTTCTCTTTCTTGTCATTTCATCAGTCAGTTTTTACACTATATCGTCAGATGATGTATATTTTTTCTTATCATATCGTAGATTGCGAAACAAACTTTCAGCCTGTTGAAATTCGCTATAGTGGGGTTAGACTCCATTA